AATATTAAATAAATTAATGTATATATTATTAAATTAATTTTAAATAAACAAATTATATAATGACATATTATGTTAAATTTATTATGTAAATATAGCATTTTCATAAAAATATAACAAGAGATTTTTGTAACGAAATAATTAATTAAAATAAATAAATAAAAATAAAATTAAAGTAAAATTTTATTTTATAAAATAAACAAATAATAATTAATTTAAAATAAATTTAAAATAAAAAATGACTATTATTTTTGGAGGAATATACTAGTTAATTACAACTTTTGGGTCAAGATCATGTTAAATGCAAGATAGTGATCGACAGTAATTGTGCAACGAATAGTTAATATATATAGTTTTAATTCTTCATCAGTATGTGTTGAAAGAAATCTATAGCAAAATGCAAGGACAAGTAGGAACCGTAACCCTTACTGCCATCTCTCTCTCCTAAGAAGAAATCAGGAGCTGATGGATCTGAAGTGAAAGTCTGAAATCCACCAAAGTTGTGGAGAGACCGACTTCTGTGAAGAATGGATTGCTTCCAATTTCGAGCACTTGGATCTTCGTAGTTTGTAATGAGGTAAAGTAGGAGATTAAAAGTGGAAGCGATATTTTATTCACTGATTTTACATGTATATATACACGGGTTCTGTGGCAACCCTAATTTATTCTTATGGAAAGAACTAGTGAAAAGGGAAATATACATAATGTGCAGAATCTTCATTATTACATAATATATGATTGGCAAAACAATCGTGATAATCATTCAATCTTGATATCCCTTGTGTGATTGAGCCATGATTGATGGTGCAATATCTGAGGTTTCCTTAATACGCCCTCGCAAGATGGTGGAGCCATCAATGACACCAATCTTGGAACATAACAAGGCAAAGCAGATGGAAGATAATGGTTTGGTCAGCCCATCGGCAAGTTGATCTACTGAGGCAATATAAGAAACACGAAGAATTCTCTTGTCAACCAAATCACGAATGAAGTGGAGATCAATGGCGATGTGCTTCATACAAGAATGCATGACTGGATTACTGCTAAGGTCTGTAGCACCAACATTATCACAGTAGAGAACGGGTGGATTACCAGAATGAAGGCCAAGCTCACTCAACAAATGCAGTACCCAAACTAACTTAGAGGAAGCAGCAGCCAAGGCTCTATACTCGGCCTCGGTAGAACTTCGAGCAATGGCTTTTTGTTTGCTAGCCTTCTAAGATATAGGTGTAGCACCGAGAGAGACAAGGTAGCTCGTAGTAGAAACAAAAGTGTCCTTGTCACCTGCCCAGTCAGAATCACTAAAGGCATGAAGAGTAAGATTAGAGCTGGACCATATCAATAAGCCATGGAACATGGTGTCCTTCAAATACCGTAGAATATGTTTGACTGCTTGCCAGTGCAACTCAGTGGGACAATGCATATACTGAGACAATTTATTTACAGCAAATGAAATGTCAGGACGAGTTAAAGACAAGCACTACAAAGAACCCACAAAGTTCCTGTAAGTTGTGGCATCGGAGAGAGTTGGAGAACCATTCTGAGGAGACAAACCTGAGGAGGACATGGGTGTTGCAACTGTTTTGGCACCATCCATTTTGCTCTTCTATAAGAGATCATTAATATATCTGTGCTGACAGAGAAATAAACCAGCAGAAGTTTTAATTGCCTCAACCCCCAAAAACAAACTGAGTTCACCAAGGTCCTTTAATGAAAATTTCAACCCCAGCTTGTTGATTAAATCTGAGATAAAAGAAGTACTATTGCCAGTGATCAATATATCATCAACATAAACTAACACATAGATAATAATCCCAACGTTGTTATGAATAAATAAGGAACAATCAGAGCAAGAGTTAACCAAACCATAAGCAAGCAAGAATTTCTTCAATTCAGTATACCAAGCGTAGGGAGCGTGCTTAAGTCGATAGATGGCTTTCTTCAGTTTGCAAACATGATGAGGAAGAGTTTGATCAATGAAACCTGCCAGTTAAGCCATGTATAAATCTTCCTCAACAGAGCCATGAAGAAAAGCATTATTCACATCAAGCTGCCGAATTGGCCAAGCTTGACTTACAGCAATAGTAAACACAATGCGAATGGTGGTGGGTTTGATAACAGGACTGAAGATGTTGGAATAGTCGTGACCAGGCCACTGGTGAAAGCCTTTGGCCACTAGCTGCACCTTGTAGTGCTCAATTTCACCATTTTTACCTCACTTTAACCAAAACACCCACTTACACCCAATAACATTGTGATTCGGAGATGCTGGAACTAGATCCCAAGTCCCTTGTTGAACAAGAGCATCAAACTCATCTGACATAGCCCTTCACCATTAGGGGTGACTCAAAGCTTGGCTCACACATGAGGGCTCAACGGTGGTGGGGACAAGGTATTTGGTGGCAAGATGCATCTGTTTGGGCTTGAAGATGTTGTTTAGGGAGCGAGTGACCATGGGGCAAGTTTAGTGGGTAATGGACGGTACTGGGTGGGGGGGATTGGGACCGGACTAGGTGAGGGAGAGTCGGGGACTGGGGAAGGTGAGACAGAGGCCGGTGACGAGAAGGAGACAGGGGATAGGGTCGAGGAAGAGGGAGAGGGAGGGGAGTCGACGGTAACGGAAGAAGTAGTGAGAGAGTGGGAAATACCTGAGCATGAGGGAGAGCGGACTAGATCTGAACCGCAAGCAATGGGAGGTGATGCATCTTGCGAGATAGGGATGACGAAGTCCTGCGGAGTTGGGGTGGCAGTGGAGGGGGGCACTGGTGATGGCAAGGCTGGGAGAGGAGCAGAGGATGGAGCTGAGTTTGGTGCCAGAGACGGAGAAGGAGAAGGAGAAGCCGAGTTGATGGAGGGCTGAGGCGGAATTGAAGGAGAAAAAATTAGAGATTTGAACACTGGTGAGATTAGGGAAATTTTGATTTTGAGAAACTGATTGACCTGTAGAAGCCTGAAAAGGAAAGTGATTTTCATGAAAAGTAACATGTCTAGAAATAAATATTTTATTAGTTTGAGGATCAAAACACTTATAACCAAGGTGATCAACTGAGTAACCAACAAAAATACATTGATGAGATCTTGCTTGGAGTTTATTTTGAGTGTATGGGTGCATCCAAGGGTAACAAGCACACCCAAAGATTTTTAGTTTTAAATAATTTGGTGGAATAGAGAAAAGTTTTTGAAAAGGAGATGTAAAAGACAAAATAGAAGTAGGTAAACGATTGAGTAAGTATATTGCAGTTTGAAAAGCATGGGACCAGAAATGAGTGGGAAGGGAACTATAGTGAAGTAAAGCTAAACTAGTTTCAACAATAGATCTATTTCGTCTTTCACAAATTCCATTTAGTTCTGGAGTGTAAGGTGGGGTGGTGAAATGAGAAATACCATGTTGTTGAAAGTAATTACGAAGAACAACGTATTCCCCACCTCCATTGGAATAAAAGTTGATTATTTTATGCCCAAATTGATTTTCAACGAGAGACTTGAATTTTGGAAAGATAATTGAGACATCTGATTTTTTTTGGATTGGATACAGCCAAACATATCGACTGTATAAATCCACAAAAATAATAAAAAACTTGTAACCATCAATAGACGCGGTGGGTGTAGGACCCCAAACATCAGAAAAAATATATTCAAGGGGGGCATGGCTAGTGAAAGAGGATTTGGAGAATGGAAGTTTGTAGCTTTTAGAACAGGAACAAGAATCACAGTAAAAACCATCGCATTTATTTATTAATGGCAAATTGATAACACTGAGAATTTTTTTGAATATTTTAGATGATGGATGTCCTAGCCTTGCATGCCAATTTATTGCCGGATGTCTTTTCCCCAAGATATGCCATGGGCATTTGTTTAGATGGGCCCGTTAGAGGAACTTGGTACATCCCATGTCAGTTTGGCCCTCGTAGTAGTATCGCCCTCGTGCTGCGGTCCTTCACGAAGAAAAAATTAAGATGAAATTCAACAATAGAATTTGTGATTTTGCATAATTGAGAGACAGAAATAAGATTACGAGATGCTGTGGATACAAATAAAACATTATGTAAAGGAAGAGATAAGGTGGGTGTTGTGAGGGTAGTATGACCAACATGAGTGATTTTCAAACCTGAGCCATCTCCAATAATTAGTTCATCATGGCTGTTATATTCTGAATGCAATGCCAGGTTTGATAGATTAGTTGTGATATGATTATTGGCACCTGAATCAATCACTCACTCAATAGTGTTTGGACCGGTAGATGTTGCATAGTGGGCTGTGGGTCCTTGGCCTTGATTTCGAAACAATGAGCATGCCTAAGCAGTATGCCCAAAATGGTTGCAAAGTTGACAGGATATATTGGGCCTACTGGTGTTGGGCCGATTTGGGCCTCCTCTTTTTTTGTTGAGTTGATTTCGTCTTTGGCACCCATTTCCTTTTCCTCCTGCCATTTGTTGGCCTGATCCAAAAGGTTGTATATTTTGTGGCAATGGTAGAATTCCTGCACCATTGGACTGAAATGAAGCATTTGAAAGACCAGAATTTGTAGAAAAAGTAGGATTATTATCAGCAAGTCTCCTTGGGGGCATAGCAGTAGGATGGGCAGTCACTGGTGTATATTCAATTCAAGTTTCTTCCTTGTGCATGCTTTCTTCATGGGCAACTAGTCTGTCATGAAGTTCTTCAAAGGAAAGTGGCTCATCTCGAGCACGTATTGAAGCAGAGATCTCACGAAATTCAAGGCCTATCCCATTGAGTGCATACACCGTCAGGTCATCATTGGGAAGAGGTTTGTCAATTACAGCAAGTTCGTTGGCAAGCACCTTGAGTTGATGAAGCAATTCAGAGACAGTGCAGTTTTCATAGCAAGTGTTTTGAAGCCCCTCCTTGAGTGTAAAGACTCTGGATCTTGAGTGATTGGCATAGACATTGGCTAGAGTTTTCCAAGCTTGTTGTGAAGTTTTAGCAGCAGATATGTAGGGAGCAATTGGTTCTGAAACTGATGTAAGGATAGCATGACGGATCGATTGATCTTGGCGGATCCAAAGCTCAAAGGGTGAATCCGGAAGAAAAAAGATAGTTAAATATAAAGGCATAGGAATTGTCAGTCTCCGTGTCGACGTCAGAAAAGTGACAGTAATACACTAATACTTATTGCCAAAACTGCACCATTTTGACTGAAACGGACATAAAACCGTCACCGTTCAACATCAGCCTGCACATAACGAACAGAAGACAAACGCCGTTTGTTACCTTCTCGATTTCATTTTGTGATTAAATGGGGGCATTAATGGAGGTACTAATGTAGTAAGATCACCTTATTGATCTCTTTTTCTCATTTGTAACTACTAGATCACCCATATGTCATGCCAACCTTTGGAGAGAGGAGGTACTTGGGTTATAATAGTTACCACCCACTGAAAGCCCTACCACATCAACATATGGCAGTGTTAGCCCAAGAGGCATAGGCAATTAGAAACTTCAATCTTCTCTAAGTTTTGGAGGGCCTGCAGTAGCTCAAGTGGAAGCAACTTCCTCATTCTTGAACATTCCGTTATATAAAGATTGGAAAAGACTTGCTGTGGAGTTGCTACTTCTTCCACGCTCACAAGTTGCAAGCTTGGCATGGAACATAGGTGGAGAATTTTAAGCTTATTCAGCACTAGATAGAACGATGATTAGGATGAGTTCAAGTGAAACAAGCACTCCATGTCTTGACCATCATAAATAGTACAAGAAGTCAACTCCCTTGCTTTCTCTAACAAAACTTAGTAAAATTAAATGTTTAGCTCCAGAATCATGTCTTGCAAAGTTCGGAAATCTATCAACTCACTAAAATCTCTAACTTGTTCAATCTTGCAGCCACTTTTCCTTCAATCTTGCACATGGTAACTCATTTTGCTACGGATGCTGCTATTTCACTGCTAAAATATGAAGTGATAGCATGAATGATGCTGTCACTTTGAATGTAAAGCCAATTTTGGGCAGACTAAGGTACTCCTTTTTTATTTTTTGTCTGTCATCAAGGTTGTAAGATATTAGTGTTAAATGATATCTTTATTTTTATTTCATGGTTCCTTCACCACTTTTTTTCTTTTTTCTTTGAATACTTGGTCCTGAACCATAAGCTTTGATATAATGAAGGTTTTAGTGAATTTTCGGGAAAAATTGAACAAATATGAATCTTCAGTTTGACTTTTCCACATGATCGGAATTAATTAACTAAAGCTAGATCTATTTTTTGAGTTCCTGACTTCCTGCTAAAGTATATGGAATATTTAGGCTGTCGCTTCTTTCTCTTTGCATACTAGAGTTGCATCCTTTACTACATTTTTCTTCATATATATACATTTCGTTCTTTGCTCCACAGGACCCATTTGGTTGCATACTGCGTTTTTTCTTGTGAAGATGCACTTATTTTAAACCACTGAGATTATCAACCTCAGAAATTGAAATTTCTTCTAAGCTGCCTTATAACTCACCTTTGCAGGATGCGAACTACCGTAGCGTGTCTTGACTGAGCCAACCAACATGATAAAAGATGGTTGAAGATTATGTGTGTGAGACTGAACATAGATCATGTATATGGTTACTCTCTTTTTATCTCTGAAACCACTTGTATATTCATAAAGGAGGTTATTCACAAAAGCTGTTTCAAACTGCATCCTAACAAAGGAAGGTGGAAATCCGAGGCAAATAGCCTACTTTGGAGTCTAGACTTCCCATTAAAACATAGAGATTGTTTAGATGAATATGAATTAATATTGTCCAACCAAAAGAAAGAACGAAATCCAGTGAAGAATGATGGCTAGAAAGAAGCAGAAACTTCATTCTGCCCAAGTTAACTGTTTCCAAGAATGATAAGATATTGCCTTGTTGCTTTACCTGCTTGTCTTTTTGATTGTTCAGTGTTCAGAGGTGCCCTGAGTGAGATGCTTCACTTGAGAGTGTGCCCTGATTCTGCCACTTGTAGAGTGCTAGCAAGCCAAGGAAAGTATACTGCATACTTTCACTTTGAGGGTGCTTCCCCTCTTTGTCTTGTTTCCTTCTTTGCTTCCCAGATTATTAGGAGCAGTGAGACTTCTTAGTTGCAGGCAGCCTGCATTGCAAGACCAAACAGTTAAAGAGTGCAATTGTTACAACCTAGCTTATTTACAATCTAAAACAGGCATAATGAAATCAACTAAAAGAGTAGAGCGATACTAGCCTCCAGTTGTTTGAATTAATCACAAAAAAGGCAAGAAAGATAGCTACAAGCAATCCATACTTGTTAAAGCCAGAATGAATGCAGGTCATTCAATAAGGACAAATTCTTTTATAAATTTGGACAGCAAAGAAGAAGAAATGGAGAAACCAATTACAAAAATCGTTTACCCAAACACTACTTTGGTTATCGAAGAAGTTCAGGATGGCCTTATCCACCATCCAATGCAGAATAGATGTGGCAAATCACAAGAAATCAATGGTAATAACAAATTAAATCACTATTGGCAAGATGAAAATCGATGATAAGCAGACTCATACGGTGAAATTATTAAAATCTGAAACATCTATGCGCCTGGAAGACCAACTATAGAATGCAAACCAGTACTCTTAAAGGTACAAAGCATGGATATTGGTTTACCTTCCCTCCACACTCCTTTTCCCGTTGCCTTTCACCATCAGAAACTATCTTAAAATTAACACCATTAGCATCATCATCAGTGCACCCTTCTTCAACTGCTTCACCAGATCATCACATATAGGTCCATCTGCAACAAGTAAAGAAACAGAGGAAAGAAAGGATAAAACCAGCTAAAAGTCCATAGAAAGAGGAGATTATCAGAATCAGTCCAGTAATGGGAATTCTAGATTGTAATGCATAAAAGTTTGGTTTATAATTTTATTAAATGGATATAAGAATTAATCAATTTAGGCAATGATGCTTTACTGCTACTGCTTATGGATAAGGAAACAAATGATTGGAATTCAGAATTGAATTCGACTTTGCAGAATCAAAAACTCATGAATTTGCTAATGAAACCCACCTCAAGAAAAGCTTTTGTCACTCTGGCCTTTCTTTTTATCAGAAGGCAAGTGTGGAATATTTTTACTTTGTCAGCAGAATACTAGGTAGACAGATCATGTAGACCTCTACACGCATCATCACTTCTCACATCTTTTACAGTAGTAGGCAGTACAAAGCAACCTTTGAGCTTGATTACTCGACTTAATTTAGTTGAAATGGTGGAACCACATTTTTCAGCAGAATTATTCTTGGAAGGTCCTGAGATTCCTACAGTTTTTGGTTGAGCAGCCGGAATGTGTACAGGAGTTCCATCAACTCTGATTGACAAATGAGTTTGAAACCCCACAGAACCTGAAAAAAAGTACCATGGAGGATACAAATTATACAGCTTTCCAGCCCCACGTTCTGAAAAATCTGAACTAAAATAAGCAGAAAATGCATGCCTATTATCTGTTATGCAATTATCAATATGCGAAAGCAGCTTGAAAAGCTACAATCTGAACAAATTCAGTATTTCAAAGTAATGTTGGAGTCTTCGAGATGCAAGCTTGAACACTGTACACCTGAACCAAACAATTGCCATCAAATTTCTGTTAAGCTCTGCATGAAATTCAAAGAAGAGAGTTTCAAATAACTACTTTGCTATGATAATGAAACAAGAAAGAAATTCACTTATGGTAGCAAAAGCAGACAGCAACAAGACTGCCAGTATATGAAAACACAACCATCTCATCAGTAGAGGATCAGGTCTTTGGATTTCGAGGAAGGGATTCCAAAGTTTAGCTGTGATTAATCTGCTATGAGGTAAAAAAGTAATGACTGAAAATTTATACGTATGTTTTTTTTTTTTTTTTTAATATAATAAAAGATTAACTACTTGACAATACAAAAGTTTAAATTTTTTACCTTAACCTCAAATCAAAGTTTTTAAGTTAGTAGATACTAACTTAACCAAGCTCTTGTTAGTAAACTGTACTTTAGCAAGCCAACCACTACCCTGTTTTCCAACAAACTTACTCCGCAGGTAACCTAAATAGAATCATTATGTGTCTACGTGCTTGCCAGTGTGAACTTCAACTACATTCTTGGAAAGGAAAAGTTCACCTCTAAAAACAAAGATACAGATAGAAAATGAACACAGATACAGATGAAAACAGTGAAATCAATACTCACTACTTGGAGTATATAAGATTAGAGCCTGAATCTCTTCCTGTCACTTGCAGACCCATTGCAACAAAATCAGAAATAATACCTACGAGTAGTTGGACGGCGACCCGAGCCTGCGATTTTTGTCGCTAATTGCCAACCAATTGTGCCAAAATTAGGATTTGCAATACCGAAATTGAAATCCTGCATGTTTTTCATTTCAATGATTTCACTTCCAATTTAGACAAAAAGGATAATCTTTATATATTCTAATTACAGAATACGACAAATTAAACAACCGAGTAAATTTATTAGTTTAGTTTTAAGAGAATATAAGAAATCCCTACACAAATAAAAACCAGCCACCAAAAATCTTAACAGAAACAAATCATTTCAGAAAATATACGGTAGATTTTGGAATTACCAAAATGGAACAAGAAACATAAAAGGAGTTAAGAGTTAAAATCATAATAATTCATACATAGATAAAAGAGATTTGATTCCATATATAGGACCCAGTTTGCCGAGAATCTCAGATGAAATTGGCCTTATATGGTACCCAGTTTGACGAGCATCTCAGGTGAAATTGGGGAAGCAGAGGCTGGACTGAACTGTATCCCTTCCATCCACTTTCAGAATCAGAAGACCTGGACCGTACTAGAGGAGAAAAGGTGAAAAAAGGTTTTTACTGGCACGTGCTGTTTGGGGCCGCACATGACTTAGCTGGTCATGTCAGGTACACACAAACGGAATGTTCCAGCTCATCCTGGCCTTCCGTCGGTGCTGCTACTACAGAATAGAAGGAATGTTGAAGAAATCTAGAAATGAAGTTGACGATTTCTTCCTCTGGATCATATTCGTTTCTTCACTTCAATTCAACCTCCAAGAATCAATGAAACAACAGAAATTGTTTCCTTCAATATGGATTGCAAATGATAGAAAAGAAATTGGAAAACAAATAAAATAAATACATAAAGGAGATAGCGCATGAGATGAAATCAGCACCCTTAAAATTACCTTACCCTCAGTCATCGCATGTATTTCAAGAAAGGTTGAAGTAGGATCTTATGATCCCACTCCACTGTTTCCCACCATTCTTCAACTATGATGATTTCTGTGAGATGAGGAGGAAGATGTGGTTGGCCATTATCAAGCAGGGGAAGCTGCAAAGGGATCCCCTTTAACTCCTGACATCCCCATACTTCAATTTGTTCAATAGAATCACAAACCATAACTCCTTTGGCACTGCAGATGCTCTTCAATTGGGGTAAAACAGTCAACTCCAATATCCTTAACTTGGGAAAAGTGAATTTATCCAATGATGCATCTGAATCTGATGATGCTATTATCTCCTCCATTTGTTCACACCGATGAACATCAATCTCCTCTAAGTTTTGGAAGGCCTGCAGCAGCTCAAGTGGAAGCAACTTTCTCATTCCTGAACAAAACTGAATGCAAAGCCTTTTAAGATTGGAAAAGACGTGCGGTGGTGTTGCTACTCCTTCCACTCTCACAAGCACACTCAACTTTGGCAATTCCCTAAGCAACAGCTCTTGAAGCTTATCCAGTACTGGACAGGAGGATGAGTCCAAGTCAACCACGCACTCCATATCTTCACAATACCTAATACCATAGAAACTCAATTCGGTTGCCTTTTCTAACAAAGCTGCTTTATTTAAGCTGCTTCTCATGTTTCTACACTCCTCGATCACCAAATTCTGAAGGTTATCTGGGAGCACTATACATTCTTCTCCAAAGTCGCAATTTTTAATATAAACCTCAATTTCCTTTCGCCCAGTCAAACTAAAGATTTGTCCTCCTACTACAATCAAGTAATTAGTAAGAATTTGAAAATCTTGAGACTTGACAAAATAATTAAAGCCTTGTCTGTCATCCAATTCACCTTCAAAGGTCCCCAACTTGCTCAATCTCACAACCTCTTCTTCTTTTATCTTCAATACTCCATAAACTAACAAGTATTGGAGATTGGAAAGGTTTGATAACATTCTCATTGGAATCTCTTTTAGCCTGGAACAATAAGTTAAATCAAGATATTCCAGACTAATCAATTCCTCCATGCCTTGAGGGGCCACCTCAATATTGGAACCGTGCAGACCCAACTTCTTTAATGCCCTAAGCTTTGCTAAAGAAGGCAAATACCTTAACTTGTAACACCACCTTAACCTCAAGGAAGAGAGCTTCTCCAAGTTTGAGATGGAATTAGGTAAAGCTTCAATACCAGTTTGAGAAAGATCAAGAACCTTTAGTTCAAGCATCCCTTCAAAGAAGGATTCTGAGATCTCTGACAAATTACGATAATTTGACAATATCAAAGTTGAAAGAGTTGGACACCCTGGGCACAACCCAGGGGGAACTTTTGATATGTAATTCTCCATTAAAGACACCTTTTTGAGATATTCTCCCCACCCATTCTCATCTGGTACCTTTGTCAATTTCATTCCAGCTTTTACCATATATCCCAATTCAGGGACAATGCTTTTAATAGCCATGTCTCTCATTAAATCATGCATCTTAAAAACATCACCTTCCCAATCAACAGTTTTCTCTAACAAGCAATTCTTTACAAGCCTACTTAAAAAGGCATGGCCCCTATCATAAGCTGCTTTTCTAATAGGCAACCCATCAATTAGTCCTTCATCAATCCACCCTTCTATCAACTCTCTTGTTCTAAATGGATAATCTTCATGAAACATGGAGCAACAAAGAAAACAATTTTGGATTTCAAAACTATTCAACCGATCATAACTAAATCTTAACCTCTCAAATATCTCTTTATCTGAACCATTCACACTCTTTACCCGTTCCCGTAATTCAATTAGGGCATTATTCCACACTTTAACATCATCTTCTCCCTTCATACTCTCTATTATCACAACAATGGCCAGTGGTAAGCCACCACACTCCTTCACAACTAGCTTCAAGATTCCTTCTAAATTTGGAACTTCTACAATATGATGCCCAACTTTATCTAAGAATAAGTTAAGAGACTCCTGAAATGAAAGAGGTTTGTTGGAGTTGTGGTGTCAAAGCTGCACCAAGAGCAGCAAATGAAAATGGAAGGCTGCACCAAGAGCAGCAAATGAAAAGAATGGAAGGCTGCACAAAATGGCAACAAATGAAAAGAAGGGAGAGCTGCACCAAGAGTGGCAAAGTGCAGCAAGCGAAGCTGCAAATGTTGATGAAATGAGGCTGAAATGAAATGCAAATGAGGCTGCAAAGTAGCAGCAAGCATAGCCACATGAAGCTGCACAAGTGGCAGCAAATGAAAGGAAATATAGGCTGCAAAGTAGCAGCAAAACACAGCACATGGAGCCGCACAAAATGGCAGCAAATCTTTGAATGTAATCTTGCATTAAATGTTTGTTAGATTTTCTCGTATTAAGTAAAGATTTGGCGAGAAAATTAATGTTTATGTATTATGAGGTTTCTGCTATATAATGGCAGAAGATGAATGAAAAAATTGGGTTGGACCTCACCAAATGAGGTAACTCCACAGGTGTCTCTCCTTCTCCTCCAAGTGCTCTCTTTCAAACCCTTCTTTTCAAAATCGAAATCTTAACTTGGTATCAGAGCTTCACTTCTTGAGGGACCTGTGAGAACAAAACAGTGAGAGGTGTGTGTAAGAGAGAGTAAACACGAGAGTAAGTGAGGGAGAGAAGCTGTGCTAGCAAAGAAACATAGCCATGACTACAAACAACACATCAACAAGATCTCTTTCCAATCCTCCTCTATTCACAGGCCAGAACTACAACATGTGGGCCATCAAAATGAAGGCATTCCTAAAAGGCAACAGTGTGTCGGACTCATTAGAAAATGGCTTTAATCCTCCTAGGCTACCAAACAACCCAACTGTAGCACAGTTGAAGCAACATGCAGAATATGTTCAAAACTCCTACAAAGCCCTTTCATACATCCGTAATGGAATAGCAGACTCAATCTTTCCGAGAATCATGAGGGCAGAAACAGCAAAAAGTGCTTGGGATACTCTTCAAAAAAAGTTTGAAGGTGACAACTGTTGGAAGAAAGTCCAACCCCATGGACTTTTTGTGTGGAAGTTTGCTTCACCAACCTAGCTAGTTGTGGGTTAGGATTGCTTTGTTAAAATCATGCAAGATTGCATGTTGACCCATTTAATGGGCAAAGAAAAACTTGGCCGGGTGGTAATGAGGCAAAGAAAAATGGTGCATGGGTGGTTGGATTTTTCACTATAAATACCCATGCATGCAAAGGCAATGTGAAAGCAAGAGAAATTGAGTGAGAGCTCTTGTGAGAGAAAAGAAAGAGAGAAATTGTGAGAAATCCTTGTGTAGATTAAAAGGGAGTATTAGGGAGAATTTGGAAGCTTCTATACATTGAAGTTAGGGTGTTGAGTGCTTCTTAAGTGAGAGAGCTTCTAAATTATTGTACTCTTTTTCTTAATAGTGGATTTATTTCTCTCTTTCCCATGGACGTAGACTTGTTGAGAGGTGCACAAGTCGAACCACGTTAAATTATTGTCTCAATTTCTTTATCGCTTCCGTTTGTGTGGGATTGTGGTGTTCAAAATTCCCAACAAGTGGTATCAGAGCTATTGGTAGAGCTCCTGGTGTTGTGGCGAAATGCAAACTGAAGCCATGAAGTATTCAATTGAGCTATTTGATGGCAAGAATGGCTTTGCTCTATGGCAAAGCACTGTGAAGGATGTCCTTACTTGTCAAGGACTTGATGCAACTTTAGAAGAGACCAAGCCGGCTGAGATGAAGGATAGTGATTGGAGCACTATCCAAAAGAAGGCAGCAAATCAAATTCGGTTGGCGCTTGCACCGGAGGTGAAATACAACGTCCTTTCAGAGACTACTCCAATAGGCATGTGGAAGAAACTTGAAGAGATATATGCTTCAAAATCTTTAATCAATCGGCTGCGTTTAAAGATGGAACTATATCAATTGAAAATGGCAGAAAGCACTAATATTCACAGGCACTTATCTGATTTTAACATGATGGTGACACAAGTAGTGAATGCCAGGGATGTTGTAGAAGAAGAGGAAAAAGCTTTGCTTTTACTTGCATCCTTGTCAAAGTCTTACAAGTCCCTAGTGCAGAGCATGCTAGTGGGTAAGACTACCTTGGTGATGAAAGATGTCACATCCATGTTGTTGGAGAATGATAAGTTTCTTAGGGAAGATGATAAGTTTCTTGGGGAGGATGATGGTGCCAATCAAACTAATGCTTTGGTGATGGAGCACTCTCGGGGAAGATCCAATGGATGTGGAGGTGGAGGAAATCGAGAAAGGTCGAAATCTAGACCTAAGAAGGATTATGGTGAAGTGTAGTGTTTTTATTGTGGTGAGTTGGGTCACAAACAGTATAAATGCCCAAAGTTTAAGGAGGACTTTTCTAACATGAAAATATTGATGAAAAGTCAAGAAACTAAGGATAAGGGAGAGGCTAATATTGTTGAAGAAAATGTGGATGAAGTATTAGCTTGTGAAGAGTGTGATCTTGAGGTGGAGCAAAACAATCAAAGATGGATTTTGGACTCCGCTGCAACTATGCATGTGTGCAATAATCCTTCGGAATTTGGGAGTTTGGTTTGGGGGGAGCTCGGCAAAATAACGGTGGCTACCGGCGAGAAGGTGAATATTGAAGGCATAGGAGATGTTTGTCTCAATATTCACAATGGGAGAGCCAAGATTCTCAAGAATGTAAGATATGTGCCCAAGTGTTCAAGCAATATTATTGCTTTGAGTGAGTTGACAACACGAGGGTGCAAGTATGTCGGAAAGCGAGAATGGTGCAAGGTCTACAAAGGTGGGAGACTTGTTCTGCGTGGAAGGAAGAACAAGCACAACATCTATGTGCTTGAGCAACATCCCGAGAGAAGGCTCAACAAAACCATGAGGAAGATGGTGTGGAAGCCTAAAGGGATCTTGGTAGATGGCAAGGAAATTAATAAGACCAAGAAGAAGGTGAGCTTCAACAATGAAGTGGTGTTTGGTGATGGTTCGAGGAGGTGTGATTTTCCCTTGAATCATATTTTGGTTCAAAATTAATTTCCATAGTACACCTAGTGTAGGTTTGTCCTATCCTATACTAAGAGGAAACTTTCAAAAATAGGACACCATGATAAAGTGCTCTTGAGCAGAGGGAGCAAAATTATGGAATGTTGAAGTGTATGGAGTCATGGTTGGTTTCTCCTCCCATAGGGTTGGAGGGGGAGATTGTTGGAAGAAAGTCCAACCCCATGTGTGAACCCATGGACTTTTTGTGTGGAAGTTTGCTTCACCAACCTAGCTAGTTGTGGGCTAGGATTGCTTTGTTGAAATCATGCAAGATTGCATGTTGACCCATTTAATGGGCAAAGAAAAACTTGGCCGGGTGGTAATGAGGCAGAAAAATGGTGCATGGGTGGTTGGATTTTTCACTATAAATACCCATGCATGCAAAGGCAATGTGAAAGCAAGAGTAGGAGAAAGCAAGAGAAATTGAGTGAGAGCTCTTGTGAGAGAAAAGAAAGAGAGAAATTGTGAGAAATCCTTGTGTAGATTAAGAGGGAGTATTAGGGAGAATTTGGGAGCTTCTATACATTGAAGCTAGGGTGTTGAGTGCTTCTTGAGTGAGAGAGCTTCTAAATTATTGTACTCTTTTTCTTAATAGTGGATTTATTTCTCTCTTTCCCGTGGATGTAGACTTGTTGAGAGGTGCACAAGTCGAACCACATTAAATTATTGTCTCAATTTCTTTATCGCTTCCATTTGTGTGGGATTGTGGTGTTCGAAATTCCCAACAACAACAGAGTGAAAGACAACAACCTGCTTACACTAAAAAGGCAATTTGAAATGTTAACCATGAAAGAGACAGATACAGTCCATCAGTACTCAAACAAGCTGATAGACATTGTCAACCAAATCAGACTTCAAGATGAAGATGAAGATGAAATGAACGAGAGAAAAGGCTGGAAAAACGAAAATCCAGACCTATATTTTTCATGAAAGTCTTTTACTGAGTTCTTTAATTTTCTTCATCCAAAAATCTATCAAGGTTCAACTTTGACTATCTCATAGCCCATTTTTTGGCACACATCAATGGATCTACTAGTGATGACTATTTTGCTCCCATTCTGAATTGTTGGTTCTTGAATTCTCACATCATTCAGAGAAAACTTTTCCCAAACATCATCTAGTATCAG